TTTATTTATTCATAGAGATGCGGAGAGAGAGAGAGAGAGAGAGGAGCGAGCCAGAGACACAGGCAGAGGGAGAAGCAGGCTTCATGCAGGGAGCCTGACATGGAACTTGATCCCGGGTCTCCAGGATCACGCCCTGGGCTGCAGGCGGCGCTAAATCGCTGCGCCACTGGGGCTGCCCGACCACAGTGGAATTAAACTAGAAATAAATAGGCGGGTAGCCAGAGTGGCTCAGCGGTTTGGTGCCACCTTCAGCCCAGGGCCTGATCCTGGGGACCCGGGATGAAGTCCCATGTCAGACTCCCTGCATGGAGCATGCTTCTCCCTTGGCCTATGTCTCTGTCTGCCTCTCTCTCTCTCTGTGTCTCTCATGAATAAATAAAATCTTAAAAAAAAATTAATTAAAATTAAAAAAAAATGAGAAAGAAATAGAGGCCTGGCTCAGGTCATGATCTCAGGGTCATTCTTCTCTCCTTCTCCCTCTGCTCCTCCCCTGCTCTCCCTCTTTAAAAAAAAAAAAAAATAGGGACGCCTGGGTGGCTCATTGCTTGAGCGTCTGCCTTTGGCTCAGGTCATGATTTCAGGAACCTGGGATTGAGTCCAACATCAGGTTCCCCGCAGGGAGCCTGCTTCTCCCTCTACCTACGTCTCTGCTTACGTCTCTGCCTCTCTCTCTCTCTCTCTCTCTCTCTCTGTCTCTCATGAATAAATAAATTATTTTAAGAAAAATTTAATTTTAAAAAAGGACAAAAGCAAAGACTCAGACTACTTGATTTTTTTTTAAGATTTTATTTATTTATTCATGAAAGACACAGAAAGTAAGGCTGAGCCACCCAGGGGTCCCCAGACTATCTGATCTTGACACTTACTGTGAAGCTGGATTAAAGGATTAAACCTGCCTGGTATCTGCGAAAGTTCAGACACATAGATCAATGGACAGAACTGACTCCAGAAAAGACCCACACTAATATGGCCAGCAAGTTTTTCACACTGGTACAAAAGTAATTTAATGGAGAAAGGAATCTTTTCCAAAAAAAGGGCTGAAAAAAACATTCACATGCAAAAAAGAATCTCAAATATGTCTCACACAGGATACAAAAAATTAAATCAAAATGGGAGGGCAGCCCAGGTGGCTCAGCGGTTTAGCACCACCTTCAGCCCAGGGTGTGATCCTGGAGACCTGGGATCCAGTCCCGTGTCAGGCTCCCTGCATGGAGCCTGCTTCTCCCTCTGCCTGTGTCTCTGCACCCCGCCATGAATAAATAAAATATTTTAAAAATAAATAAGTCAATCAAAATGGATCATATATCTAAATGGAATATGTAACTTGCACAAAAGAAACTTTGCGACCAGGGACTCCTGGGTGGCTCAGAGGTTGAGCGTCTGCCTTCAGCTCAGGATGTGATCCCGGAGTTCCGGGATTGAGTCTCGCATGGGGCTCTGCGTAGAGCCTGCTTCTCCTCCCTCTGCCTATGTCTCTGCCTCTCTCTGTGTCTCTCATGAATAAAAAAATAAAAATCTTAAAAAAAAAGAAAGAAACTTTGTGAACTTGGATTGGGCAGAGTTTCTTTTTTTTTTTTTTTTTTCAAAAGTAAACTCTACACCCAACGTGGGGCTCGAAGTCATAACCCCAAGATGAAGAGCCACAGGCTCCACCAAATGAGCCAGCCAAGCACCTCAGGATTAGGCAGTGTTCCTTGAAATGATACCAAAACCATACTCCATAAAAGTGAAACTTGAAGTATCTTCCCACAGCCAACACTAAAACATTCTGAGCAAAATATAACAATATCATATTGTAACTCAAATAGTAAATATCCATGAGTCCATACTCACATAAAAATGAATAAATAAATAAAAGGAGGGAAAAGGGACAGCTCTTCTTTATAGAAAATCCCAATTAGGGTGCCTGGGTGGCTCAGCAGTTGAGCGTCTGCCTTTGGCTCAGGACTTGATTGAGTCCCACATTGTGCTCCCCACCGGGAGCCTGCTTCTCCCTCTACCTAGGTCTGTGCCTCTCTCTGTGTGTCTCTCATGAATCAATAAAATCTGAAAGAAGCAAGCAAGCAAGAGAGAAAGGAAGGAAGGAAGGAAGAAAAGGAAAGGGAAAAGAAAAAAGAAAAGAGAAAGAAAGAAAGAAAGAAAAGAAAGAAAGAAAGAAAGAAAGAAAGAAAGAAAGAAAGAAAGAAAGAAGAGAATTACCATATGAACAACACAGTAATAATTGTTACAGGCAATCTACCAATGGATGCTAAAATTAGTGGGCAAAAAAAAGTAAAATAAAATAAGTGAGCAAAAGTTTGAGGAGAAACAGGATATATGCATAGTTTTAAAGTGTCTTCTGCAAGGAGTGCCTGGATGTCCCAGTTGGTTAAGCATCTGATTCTTGATTTTAGGGGTCTTGGGAAAGAGGGTCTTGGGATAGTGCTCTGCATCTGGCTCTGTGCTCAGCTGGGAGTCTGCCTGGGATTCTTTCTCCCTCTCTAAAATAAATAAATAAAATCTTTAAAAAAAAAAAAAAAAGGGGATCCCTGGGTGGCGCAGCGGTTTGGCGCCTGCCTTTGGCCCAGGGCGCGATCCTGGAGACCCGGGATCGAGTCCCACATCGGGCTCCCGGTGCACGGAGCCTGCTTCTCCCTCTGCCTGTGTCTCTGCCTGTGTCTCTGCCTCTCTCTCTCTCTCTCTCTCTCTCTCTCTCTGTGACTATCATAAATAAATAAAAAATTAAAAAAAATATTATAAAAAAAAAAGTATCTCTTGCAAGACATGTACCAATTACAAAAGGAATAAATGCATACAACAGAACAATGAACAAACATTTCATCAAAAATGACCTACAAATGGCCAATAAAAACATGAAAATATGCTCTACATCATTATTCCTTAGGGAAAGCAAGTTAAAACCACAAGGAAATACACATCCTAGAATGGATACAATTTAAAAGTCTAATAGATCCTGGCAAGAATGTAGCTCATTTGTAAATCTCACACATGGTGGGAGTGTAAAATGGTACAGCCACTTTGGAAAATAGGTCAGCAATTTCTTAAAAAGTTAAACATATATAATACCATAGGCCCCAGAAACATCACTTCTAGTGATTTACCCAAGAAAAATAAAAACTTAATGTCTATCAAAGACCTATATCTGAATGTTTATAGCAGCTTCAGGCAAAAGCTTGAAACCACCCAAATGTCCATCAACTAGTGAACAAATTAATTGTGGTACATCTATGGGATAGAATACTACTCAGCAATGAAAAGAACAAACATGAACGAATCTCAGAAGCATTGTACTAGGCAGAAGATACCAGATGTGACAGGATCCATAACACAGAAGCATAATACCGCAGGAAACACAGAACTGCAAGGATACAGGCGGGCAGCTAAGACTGGGCTGAGAATGAAGGCCTGCAACAGGGGTGAGAGAGCTTTCGGAATAAGGGAAATGCCCCACATGCTGATGGTGTTGGCAGTTACATAATTATGCACATGTTTCAAAACTCATTGGATAAATTTTATTGTATGCAAATTATATCTCAATAAATCCGACAGTAAGAATCAACATTAATCTCCACATTAATAGAATAAAGAAGAAAAACCGTATGATCATCTTAATAGAGACAGAAAAGGACTGACACAATTCAATATGATAAAAATCTCATAAAATTAGGAAAAGAATCTCCCTAATCAGATAAAATATATCTATATCTATAAAAAGTCAGTGTGCCTGGGTGGCTCAGTTAAGCATCTACCTTCAGCTCAGGTCATGATCGAGTCCCATGCTGAGCAGGGAGCCTGCATCTCCCTCTCTCTGTCCCCTGCTCTCTGTCAAACAAATAAATGAAAATTTTAAAAAATTAAAAAAAAAAAATACTGTATCCACAAGAAGTCTACAACTCTCTCGTGCATAAATGAGGAATATGGAGGCACCCGGCTGGCTCAGTTAAGCATCCAACTCTTGATTTTAGCTTAGGTTGTGATCTCAGGGTCATAAGACTGAGTTCTGCGTAGGATCTGTGCTCAACAGGGAGTGTGCTCGAGGTCCTCCCACTCCCTCTGCCCCTCCCCACTTCTAAAAACAAAACAAAGCCCCCAAACAGGAATATGGACTACCTTCCCCCAAATAAGGTAGGGTGCGATGTTCACGATCACCACTAGTATTTGCAATAAGAAAAAGAATTCACAAGGGGCACCTGGGTGGCTCAGTCGGTTAAGCATCTGCCTTCAGCTCAGCTCATGGCCCTGGGATCCTACCATTAAGCCCCATGTTGGACTCCCTGCTCAGGAGGGAGTCTGCTTCTCCCGTGGCCCCACACCTCACTCATACACACTCTCTCTTCCCACTATAAAATAAATAATATTTTTAAAAAAAGAAAAGAAATCACAGATGCTCACTATAAAACTGTTAAGCTGAATAAAGTCCTTATTCACTTGCCTATATGCGTTATAATTCACAAAAAATACAGTATTTCAAAAAAATTCAGAGGCCTAATCCTGTGACCCAGCAATTCCACCCAACAAAAATCAAATGGAGATGTTCACACAAAGATCTGTAGTAGAATGTTTACAACAGCACCATTCAGAGTAGCCTGCAACCAGAAACTATCCTAACGCCCATTAAGAGTTGAATGGATACAGAAAATCTAGAATACTCAAACAATACTACACAGCAATGCAAATGAACAATCTACAAGTACATGCAACAACATGGGCCAAAATGCACTCATAAAAACATAGGATTCCACTCATAGTACAAAACAGGTGAACCAAATTGTGCTGCCAGAAGTCAGAATTAACAGTCCCCAACAGGTGAGATGCTGGTAATAACTGAAAGGGTACAGGTAGTGCTCTGTTGATATGGTTCCTGGCTGCATGAGTTATTTGTCTCCAAAAATTCAGGATATCTTATGATACATGGAGCTTTCTGCATATTATACTTTATATTATGCTTCAATAAAGACTTTTATGAAGTTTAATTACAAAAGAAGAAAAAGAAAGCCTACCCATCGGAATGAAGAGTCCACCGTCCTCTGTCTCATCCTCAGCTTGCGAAGCCAGAGTCCCAAGTGGCTTTTCCTGAGGACAGGCACATACATCTGGCTGAGGGGACTTCCCAGGCTGGGCTCCTGGTTTTGCAGAGTGGCTGCCTAATGGCAGCAAAGGCATCGCCCCTCCAGAATGCAACTGAGGTTTTCCTGGAAAAATCACAAGTATTGCTCTATACTTTGCCCATTATCCATCATACTAGGTTGCAGAAATCAGCATTTTGTTGTAAAGTCATTTATAGCTGGGTAACTTCACTAATGATACATACACTATATAGGCATTCTCCTCTCCCTTTTAAAGATAGGGTCCTAAGAAATAAAAGCTCAGATCCAAGCTCACCTGTTATGTCAGGGAGCTGAACCACATAATGACTACAACATATTTCTTTTATTTTTTTTTCCTTTTAATTTTAAGTAGGCTCCAAGCTCATCGTGGGGCTTGAACTCATGACCCTGAGATTAGGAGTTACAGCCAGCCAGGCACCCCAAGGTCTTTCTACTTAAAATATGCTTTGAGTTATATATTTCTTTTTCCTTTGGAGAAATCAAAACCATAATTGTAGGGTGGGGGCTGTTATATTCCTGATGACAAAGGTACATTTTATAAGGATAATCATTAACACCACATTTAATCCATTATCAATGTCCTGAACTTTCTGACTCTAAATTATGCAGAAATTGGAGTAAAAGTCACCATAAAATTATCAATGACAACCTTCCCCTTGGGATGCCTGGGTGGCTCAGCGGTTGAGTGGCTGCCTTAGACTCAGGTTGTGATCCTGGGGTCTGGGATCAAGTCCCCCATGGGGCTCCTATGGAGAGCCTGCTTCTCCCTCTGCCTATGTCTGTCTGTCTGTCTGTCTCTCTCTCTCTCTCTCTCGGTCTCTCATGAATAAATTAATAAATCTTAAAAAAAAAAAAAAAAAAGACAACCTTCCCCTTTACCTCAACTCCTCATGAGTGCTACCTTTCTTCTGGGGAAGACGGAATATTTACAAAGCACATAAGCACTTGTGCTGTAGCAAAAGTAAACAATAGACATGACAGGTTGTCATGCAGGCAGAACAGCCACAGAAGACACACAGGGAGTGCTAACCAGTGACTACTTACTCCTGAGATAAGAACCTGGGGGAAGTGGACAGAGGGAAAGGGCACCTAACTTTTCACTGTGGACTGTCAGCATTTATGAATTGTTTCCATGTTTGTGTATTACACATTCAGAACATTTTCAAAAAGAGATCAAGTTATCACTGAGCTCCACACAAAGCAGCCTTCGTCCTGTGACCTGATATCTCATCGACCTGATATCTCATCGACGTTGGCACTTCCAAGTGGTGTAAACATGGTTTTATTTTTTGTTTTGTTTTGTTTTTGGTGACTCCGTCAGGACCCAGTAAACATGGTTTTAAATTGGACCATCCAGGGTAGCCCAGGTGGCTCAGTGGTTTAGCGCCACCTTCAGCCCAGGGCATCATCCTGGAGACCCCGGATCAGAGACCCGGGATCAAGTCCCATGTCAGGCTCCCTGCATGGAGCCTGCTTCTCCCTCTGCCTGTGTGTGTGTGTCTCTCTCTGTCTCTCATAAATAAATAAATAAAATCTAATTAATTAATTAATTGGACCATCCTCTCCTCCAACAAAGAAAAAAAAAAGCTTTAATTTTAAATAAAGCATGAATTAATCCTTAATTGCATTTACTCTCAATCTTCTATCCTTCACTTCCAGAACCCATGATTACTCCATAATGTCAAAACATCCCAGGGCTTTGGCTTTCATAGGGACTAGACAAGGAGTCAAATACCAAATCCATCAAATCCAAAGTTGCTCTCAGCCAAATGTCTTAGAAAAGAGAACTTCAATAAACCGCACAGTGTTCTCTTTTAATCAACAATCTTGAGCAAGTTTTAGAATTAACAATGCTAACATTTTCACAACTGAACCAACATAAAAGACTTTTTAATCAAACATATCAGAAGTTCACTTTGTAACGTAGTTTCCATCAATGATACTTCTACCACCTAAAACGTATTTGGAATTCCTCTAACACTGTCCCTACAGCTTACCAGCCATAGAGAAAATGTCCTTTTTTTTTTTTTTAAGTTTTATATATTTAAGTAATCTCTACACCCAATGTGGGGCTCAAACTCACAACTCTGAGATCAAGAGTCATATCCTCTTCTGACTGAACCAGCCAGGTGCCCCAAAAATGTTCCCTTTTCTATGACCACATCATATTGCTTCTCAATTTAACTCCCGTCTCAGAGAACCCTGCAGGAACCCCACTCTTCTTTTCCTCTATCTCTGTGCTAGATGCTCAAAGCCCCTAGAAAGGGAAGCTGAGAAGGGTAAGAGGGACAGAAAAGGGAAAGCCTTACACAGCGCACATCTATAACTTGTTTACTGCCAGCTTAAAAACTGTGAATTAATAATATGAAAATAATCAGCTGAGAACTGTACAAGTCAACTAATTATAAGCCAAAATCTGCCTAAGTTAATCATTTTAGAAGGTAAAGAAAAAAAAAGTATAAGTAGAAATTAGGGTATGTGAATCAATTTCAAAAGAACAATTAAAATTCTGGGGAAAAAAAAAAAAGAGGGAAGGGGGAAATACACACCAACACAAGGAAGGTTTAATCACCAGCACCTGGGGCACCTGGGTGGTTCAGTCGGTGAAGCATCTGCCTTCCGCTCGCATCATGATCCCAGAGTTCTGGGATCATGTTCCGTGTTGGGCTCCCTGCTTAGCAAGGAGTCTGCTTCTCCCTCTGCCCTTCCCCTCCCTATCTATTCTTTCTCTCTCTCTCATAAATAAAATCTTTAAAAAATATAATAATCACTAGCACCTGCAGTCTAGAAACATGATCTCACAATATACCAACTATAACAAAATGCTGATATAGTAACCCTCTGCTTACCCTTGGGACATATGTTCCAAAAGTCCCAGTGTTGCCTGAAACCTCCTATAGAACTGAACCCTATAATACTGTATTTTTTCCTATACATATTTATGACACTTTAATTTATAAGTTAAGCAGTAAGATTAACAAATAATAAAACAGAACAATCATAATAATACTCTAACAAAGTTATACAAACGTGGTCTCTTTTTCTCTAAATAGCTTACTATCCTGTACTCACCCTCCTTCCTGTGAGGATGTGAGATGATGGAATGCCTATGTGGGGAAGTGAAGTGAGGGGAGTGATAAAGGTGTAGTGACACAGTGTTAGGCTACTACTATCCTTATAATGAGAAGTCAGGAGGATCACCCACTTCCAGACCGCGGCTGACCTCAGATAATTAAAACCACGGATATGGGGAAACTACTACATTTCAAAATAACTCAGATTTTTGGGGGGTCTTTTCTACATAATCATAATACTACATGTTACTTAAAAGAAAGCAAAACAACCAAAAAATACACTTTTTTTTCTTTCTTTTTTTTTTAAGATTTCCCTTTTAGGGGCACCTGAGTGGCTCAGTGGTTGAGTGTCTGTCTGCCTTTGGCTCAAGTCACGATCCCGGAGTCCTGGGATGGAGTCCCACATCGGGCTCCCGGCAGGGAGCCTGCTTCTCCCTCTGCCTATGTCTCTGCCCCTCTCTCTGTGCCTCTCAAGAATAAATTAAAAAAAAAAAAAAAGGATTTCACTTCTAAGTATCTCTGCCCTTCTCTCTGTGCCTCTCAAGAATAAATTTAAAAAAAAAAAAAAAAAAAAAAGGATTTCACTTCTAAGTAATCTCCTCACCCAACATGGGGCTCGAACTTCCAACCCCTACATCAGGAGTTACATACTCCACTGACTGAGCCACCAGGCACCCCGATGCTAAATTTAATAGTAATTACGGCGAGTAGCAAGATTGTGGGTGATTTTTATTTTCTTCCTTAAACTTTTCAATATTTTTCAATCTTTCTTCCTTTCTGGTTTATATGTTACATTTCTGTTTCATACACACAGAAGTTACTTGGGGGAAAAAAAGAGGCTGGATGGACACTCATAAGGTCCCTCTTTTACTGGTATTACTTGTGTGTATACAGCTCATTAAAGTGGTAAGGCGGTAGAATCCACTTTCAATTATCCAGCTTAAAGAAGGGGGTGGTATTATAGATAACCCTAAACCACAAACGTCTATTTTATTCACCTACACTTGGACATCTGTGGGAAGCCACTGGAAACAGCTCTAGGCTGCACTCCCCAACAGACGAGTGACCCTGAACCCCTAGTGAATCACCCATTCCTGCCCTGCTAGGACTGGAATCCGTGTCCCCTGCAGGTCCCCCACCTCCACGTCAAACACAAGGAGCTTGGAGAGGACATTTCGGTGAGCCAGCTGTCTCCCTGGCCACTTCCTTTTTTTTTTTTTTTTTTTAAGATTGATTGATTTATGATAGAGAGAGAGAGAGAGAGAGAGAGAGAGAGAGAGAGAGAGGCAGAGACACAGGAGGAGGGAGAAGCAGGCTCCATGCTGGGAGCCCAACATGGGACTTGATCCCAGGACTCCAGGATTGCGCCCTGGGCCAAAGGCAGGCGCTAAACCACTGAGCCACCCAGGGATCCCCTCCCTGGCCACTTCCATTCTCCCGCTGCCATCATCCTTGTTCCTAAGGGCCACAATCTGATCTCCTTGTCCCCCTCATGCACCTGCAACCTGCAAGCCCATCAGGCCCCACCATCCTTCTCACTCCTTTGGCACATTTTTTTTTTTAATTTTTTATTTAAATTCAATTTGCCAACATGGCATGAACTTTTAAGGGATGTGCCTTGTTTTCATAGCTCTCCTCTTTCCTCTGACCTCTCCTGTCACCTCTTCTGTTTTCCCCTCCCTATCTCTTCCTCAGCCTCAGGCCATCCACTTTTTCCATGTTCCTTTCTACAAGGAAGCAGCACAATGCACACTCTGACCGTCTCTACTCCTACCTCTAACAAACTACGATCTCAGACTTCGATTTTACTGTGAAGGCCCCCACTTCACACCTCACACCCTTTTCAACCCCTCCAAGGCCTGCGCTACGAATGCATGCTTCACCATTCCTAGGCCAGGTATCTGATATGGCATCAGTCTTCAAGCAAGATTAGTCCTTCCCTCGGAATGTCTCTAAGATACACCCTCTTTTCTCTCCTTGCTGCCAACATCCCAGTCAAGGTTGTTGACTGTCAGGTCTCAGGGGCAGCACGGCCAGGATCCATGTGGTCTGCACCTGCACTCACCCGGGGAAGCCCTGCTGCTCGCCCATGTGTTTCCAGAATGTGCCACCCCACTTCTACTCCTTCCCCAGTCTATGGAATCCTACCAATCCATCAAATCCCAATTTCAAAATTCCTAATTCCCTGTACCACAAACTCCCGCACGTACATATCGCCTCCAACTGCTCCAAATGAACTATGTGTTTCTGTCTTGTCTTCCCAACTAGACTACAAGCTTGCTGAGGTGAGATCTATGCCTTCTGCTTCTTTTATTAGTTGGTTATCACCTATGGGAAAAGCTCAAACACTTGAGCATGAAAACAAAGCCCTTTGCAATCTAAACATAACTTACCACTCTGAAGTCATCTCTCACTTCCTCCAACCATGTCACTATCCTCTTCTGCCTCTGTGCCTGCTCCTCTTGGCCTCCCATGTGTCAAACTACAACCCAGCCCTCCAGTCCTAAGAGTTATGGTGTCTCTGTAGAGTCCCACCCAATGTCCCAGGCAGCAGTCTATCCCTCTACACTGCTGCCCCTCCTCCACAAGCCCCATTTCATGGATCCCCACCAAATCACAAAACACCATAGAGTTCACCTCCAGACATGAAGGGAGGAGAGAAAAGGATACAGAAGAGAATCTCAAGAATGGGAGGGAGAAGTCAGTCTCCACTCAATTGTAAAGTCCTAAGGGTCAGCACTGCATTTTTTTTTAAGATTTTATTTATTTATTCATGAAAGACAAAGACAGAAAGAAAGGCAGAGACATAGGCAGAGAGAAAAGCAGGCTCCATGCAGGGAGCTCCATGTGGGACTCAATCCTGGGACCCCAGGATCACGCCCTGGGCTAAAGGCAGGAGCTCAACCACTGAGTCACATGGATGTCCCTGCACTTCTGATTCCATACTGAATATCCCCCTTTCAGAGATACTGCTTTGTAAAAGAACCGCAGAGGGGACACCTGGGTGGCTCAGCAGTTCGGTACATGATTCCAGGGTCCTGGAATCAAGTCCCACATGGGGCTCCCTGTAGGCGCCTGCTTCTCCCCCTGCCTATGTCTCTGCTTCTCTCTCTCTTTCATGAATAAATAAGATCTTTAAATAAATAAATAAATAAATAAATAAATAAATAAATAAATAAATAAATAAATAAATAAAGGAACTGCAAAGAGTGCAGTGGCAAACTGATACACCAAGGAAAACATGGCCTAACAACCCTTTGTATCATACCTCCTTCTTCCTTGACTTCTTCACCAGGCTCTCCTGAAAAAGGCTCCTTTGTAATAGAATGATCACCTCTGTCTTCTTGAGAAACAGGTCCAGGCCTCAGCGTAATCTTCTTCCCTCTCCTTGCACCAGGGGCCTGGACTTTCCCTTTACCGACGTGTGCATGAAGGGGCTGGGAAGATTCCAAGGAAGGGAGGGTGATTCCCTGAGAGATGGCCGCATCAACAGCTTCTAGAACTGGTGCACTCGTGTCCTGGGTGAGTATCCTAGAGCTTAAAGAGCTCAAAGAAGGATCCTCCACACAAAGCTGATTGCTGGCATCCTGTAATGACTCGACCCGGAGGCCAGCCACTCTGCCATGGCTTGGACCCCCAGAGAGTGATGCTGACCCCAAGTCCTTCACCTGGTCAGACGATGGCTTAATAGCTGACTCCAGGTCAAGGTCCTCTTCCTCCTGGTTGCCCTGGTCCTGTGAGGACTCTGTCACTGTGGTCCTCCTCTTCTTACAGGGCAACATTGTACAAGTCCCACTCTTGGGACTCCTGGGTGGCTCAGTGGTTGAGCATCTGCCTTTCGCTTGCATACAAGTCCCACTCCTGTTCCATCCTGAAGGGAGAAAAGCAAGTTCTCATCACCCTCATGTTCATTCAGATTAACAGCATTTCTTCAAGTATCTTTCCACTTACTCATGTTCAGTCATGGGCACAGTACTTTACACCAAATACACAACCTCCCATCTCCCATTAGGTGGGAGGTGAGAGAAAGTGGTTAGTGTCACACCCAAACCCTAAGTCCACTATCTGGTTGGTACAGTATCTTGGCTGAGTGGCTTAACCTCTCTGATCTTGAGTTTCCTCCACTTGAAAGGATACTAACTGTGCTTACCTCATAGAGAGTTATAAGAATTAAATATGATTGGTAAATGTTAGTTATCATTACTACCAACAGGGAAGTAGAAAAGCATGATGCCAACAGTAAACTGTGGAGTCAAACTTTCTGATTCGTTTTCCAAGTTAGCTTCTCTCCAGCTTTGTCACACTGCGTAAGTTATGTACCCTGAACTTCACTTTTCTCAGCTACAAAATGAAATAGGGGGGCGTCCGGGTGGCTCAGTCAAGTGTCTGCCTTCAGCTCAGGTCATAATCTCAGGGTCCTGCTCAGGGGGAAGTCTGTTTCTCCCTCTGCTTCTGCCCCTCCCCTGGCTTATATTCTCTAGAGCACGAGCACTCTATCAAATAAATACAATCTATTTTTAATTGTTTTTAAAAATAAGATAAAAATAGCATCAATGTCATTAGATAGCAATTTATTAGATCAATAATATTTGCTACTGTTTCCATAAACAGGTAGCTCAGTTAACAAAAGCAATCTAAAAGGAAAGTGTGGTTGTTTAAAAAGGTTAAGCTACATTAACAAAAAATTTGTGTTGAAAATAAGAGATTCTTACTATACTCTATGCTGTTACTTCCTGACTCTTGGCTTCAATTCCAGCTATCATAATTTATTTTTTTAAAGATTTTATTTATTTATTCATGAGAGACACAGAGAGGCAGACATAGGCAGAGGGAGAAGCTTCCCGTGGAAAGCACAATGCAGGATTCAATTCAATCCCAGGACCCCAGAATCACAATCTGAGCCGAAGGCAGACGCTCAACCACTGAGCCACCCAGGTGCCCCTCAGCTATCACAATTTAAGGGCAACACTAACTTAAGCTGAAGGATATCTTTTATGTTCTTATAGATCCTGTTAGCAAACCTCTTTTACAGTATTTATTGCTTTTCTTACACCCTTGTCTATCTCCTTCCCCCAAAACTATGTGCTTTCTGTGGGAAAGGACTTTTCCAACCAGCACCCCTAGTACTTGGCAAGATCTGCCTATGCTATACTCAATGAATGTTCCTGAAGAAACGCATACGTGAGAGAGCGCATGAACTTCCCATTCCATGCTTAATCTATAGAGCATTTGGGCCATGAGTTAGGCATCATATGGAAACATTGCATCTTCCTGCCCAAAAAACTTCACTCTCAATAAAATAGGTCCAAGTATAAAATAAACTGCTTTGTTTAACACTGAGTTCTTCCTCACTGACGATGCCCATCTAAAGCTGGGTCCAGACGACTAAGATAGTTCCTTCTGGGAGACCTATAAACCTCCCTAATTCAGGGCACCGAGCTGGTTCTAGTCACAAGAGCGCAGGTACAACTCCTGATCTCGGAGCTGTGAGCTCCAGGCCCACGGTGGGGGCAGCGATTGACAGATTAGATAGATTAGACAGATATATAGATAGATAATTTTTAAAGATTCTTAAAATAAAGCTCCCTAATTCAGTTTCTCCAAGCAGCAGGGGAGAACTCCGCCCCGCCCCCCATATCAGCCTGCGTCCAGATCTCAGTTGTTAAAGCTCAATACACACGTGAGGGTTCTGCCGATCCGGGTGAGGGAGGGTGGGAGAGGGGAGAGGTGGGGAGCGAGCAGCTTGAACGGGTCCTACGTTTCACAGATGAATGACAGATTCAGAAAAGAAAAAAGAAGGACAGGAGGCAGCAGCGTGCAGAGAAAGGTTCCCGGCACTTCAGACGCAGCAGCCCTCCTAAGGCCCCCGCCCTGGGAGCTGGAGTCCCACCAGCTGGGGGATGAATGCGACCCCGGGGAGCTCCAGCGCGGGCCCCTCCCGGGCACAGGTTCCAAGAGGGGGTCCTCACTGCGCTTCCCACCGCGGCTCCGAGCGGCGGCCCAGGTCCCCACGCCCAGCCCGGCACCGTCACACACCCCATGCTGACCCGACCCCTCTGCCAGGACGCCCAGCTCCCACCTGCCTCTTCCCGCCCCACCGCACGCGCCCTGCCACCCTCACCAGCCGGCCAGCTCCCGCGGAAATCCAGCTCCGCCAGCGCCGGAAGTCGGCCAACGGCAGCGCCGGACGTGCGCGCCCCCGAGCGGCGGTGCGCGGCGCCAAGCCGCCAGGGAGCATGCGCCAAGCCCTCAGGCCCCATGTTAGGTGAGGGTGGACTGAAGCCCGCGCGTCCCACGTTTGCGAAAGACTTTAAAGGCCAGATTCCTCCTCGCTTTCTCTGTCCGCGCAGCGATCCCACTCAAAGTAAGGCTGGACTTTGCGACTCGGTGGTGTGCTTTGACAACTCTTCATTCCCGCCGCGAAATACCTGGAACGCGGGACCGAGGAAGTGGCGAATTCATGAAATTGCAGGAAAAGGACCCCCGGACTTGTACCAATAGTGCGGGTTTCCCAATAAAATGGGGGCAGGCTTGGACTCAGCCCGCAGTGATCGCTCCGGTCTGCATAATGCTCTTCATTCCTCAAAATGCTTTCACGTAGGTTATCATAGGTGACCTGATCCTCGCAGTAGCCCCGGGGGATAGTGACTATTACACCCTCCCCCGCGTACGGAACACACTCCTGGCTCGGCGGGGTAGGTGATTGCACACATGCAGCTGTGGAGGGACCTCAGGTGCCCTAACACGGCTCGGCTGGTCAGGTTCTTTTTTCTTTTTTTTTTTTAATTTTTATTTATTTATGATAGTCACACAGAGAGAGAGAGAGAGAGAGAGGCAGAGACATAGGCAGAGGGAGAAACAGGCTCCATGCACCGGGAGCCCGACGTGGGGTTCGATCCCGGGACTCCAGGATAGCATCCTGGGCCAAAGGCAGGCGCTAAACTGCTGCGCCACCCAGGGATCCCCGGTTGGTCAGGTTCTTAAACACACACAGCTGTCCAAGGACCTCAGGTGTCCTAACTCTGGCTCGGCTGGGTAGGTGGTTCCACGCACACAGTTGTCGAGGGACCTCAGGTGTCCTAACTCCGGCTTGGCTGGGCAGGTGATTGCATACACACACCTGTTGAGGGACCGCAGGTGCCCTAACTCCAGCTCCTGACATGCCAGGTCCAGCGCTTGGAAAGGCGCCCGGGATGGAGTGCTGTTTATTAATCCAACACACGGGGTTTGAAGGAATGCATGATTCCTAGACCCACGTTCTCTCCACTTTTCTGGAAGGACAGAATGTCGAAGCCGAAACAATACACCCAACCATCTCCGTTTGCAGGTACACCACCAACAGCTACTCATGCGTTTAAATAATTTGACCTGATCCTGTCTGTAAACAGGATGAAAGCGTCCACAGCCAAAGAGAAGAGGGAAATTGCGATAATCGTGCAGACGACTGCCAGGAGTCTACAACCTGAATCACCCTGCCTCTCCCAATGCCAAGGAAGTCTCTAGAAGCTTGGAGTTTCCTTTGTATCCTGCTCTTCAACCTGCAGGATATACAGTTCTGTCGGTTTCCTTGCTGGCCCTTGTGTCTCCTTCTCTAACCCCCTATAAGTCCTTGGAAGTTTTTGTAAGAGGAATACCCAACACAGGTTAACTCTGACGCACCTCATTAGTCTTTTTTTAAAAAAAACAGCTTTCATTTACACCACAAAATCCATCCGTAGATGGATTGCAGAATTGTTCTACAAGTATTCCCAGTAAGTTTCCAGAGTTGTGCAACCATCACCTGGTTTAGTCTTTAATCAGAGCTTCTGAAGTTTAAGAAAGTTTCCATAATAACATTTAGTAGTTTCAGAAATGCACAATAATGGCAAATGATACTGAAATGCAGACAGTATACAATTTTCTTTTTCCAAAATACTAGGCTCCGTCACCCTGAACATTCTGCTGCTGTATTAAGCCCCGGGAACCGGAACCACAGGATCTATAGGACTGCATAGGGAAAGACACCTACAGCACTCAGGCCACCCCACCCATCTGCGGTCCGCCGGTAGGCGGGGTCTCCCTCTCCAGAAATCTCCGCGGCCGCAGGGGTCCCCTCGCCGGGAGCTTCCGGGGGCGGGGCCTGGCTCCCGGAACTCTTCGGGCGGAGGCGGAGTCTCCTGCCGAGGGCCGCTCGGAAGAGGGTGGGGCCTACCCGCATCAGGACCAGTCTGGCTGCACCTGCATCCTTCCGCTCAGAGCATCCCCGGAGCATCTTAGGAGGCGGCCGCAGCTGGCAGTCAGGGGCCCGACCGTCGCAGGAGGTGTCCGCCAGACACCTTCCCCCTCCCCTGAGCTGGCGCTCTACAACGGCGGCCTCGGTGCTGACCGGGCGCCCCCAGACTCGTCTGATCCCTGAAAAAGCATACATACCAATAGCCTCTGATTACGACATGGCTGAGATCACCAATATCCGACCTAGCTTTGGTAAGTAGAGTGCGGACAACTAAAGCCTGGGGCCGTGGGCACCGCCGCACAGCCAGGGGCGCCCAGTGCCGGGAGGGAGCGAAGCCCACCCCAGGGCCTTCAGGGTCGGACCCGCTAGGATTGGGCCTGCGACGGCGAGCGGCGCCAGAACTTGAGCTGCGGGTGCAGGGGCCAGCCAATCCGGGGGTCCCCGGGGGTCGCCGGGGGTCGCGGGTCGCGCGGAAACCTGTGTGGCCCGAGTCGGCGCTCTGCAGGGGAGGAAGGGAGGAGGATGAGGACCTCTCCCCCTCGGGGCGCTCAGGGCGGTGCCCCGTGCTCCCCCTCCCATTCCTCGGGCTGCGGGGGAGGGTAGCGGCGGGGGATGGGCGCCAAGATGGCATCTGGGGGGCTGGGGGGCCAGCGGCCCGCTGCGGGGAGCCGAGGCTGCGGGGGCGCCGGGAGCTGCTGCCCAGCGGGCGGGCGGGGCGCGGGGCTGGCGGCCGCCCAGGGCCCCCAAGTGCGGTTCTGCACCGTAATGGTGGGTCCGTCCGATGCTACCAAATGGCGCTTGGCGCTGCCGAGCTAGGGATGACGTGATGTCTATTCTGGGCCTCCTGGCAGCGCCCAGGCCCCTCTTCCCGGGCCTTTGTTCCCTGTTTCTCTGGCCTGGCCTTTCCGAAAGGGGGACTCACCGCGCCGGTGCTGGCGAGGGCGCGGACCAGGCCTGGGGGAGGGGCGGAGAGGCCGGGCCGGAGGGAGGCCGCTTTGTATACCCTGCAAGGCATTACGTCACCGTGGAGCGGCTGGTCCCCGACCCGGGCCTCTGGGCTGTGATCCCGGCTGTGCTCCCAGGAGCAGAGAGCCGGGTGGAAAATATGGAGGAAGACGCGAGAGAAAAGCTGAAAAAGCAAGTTTTTTCCTCTTTGGGGCTTCCTCCAAAATGTGCTAGGGTTGCAAACTTCCTGGGGTATGTTTTCCTGTTTCAAAAATAAAGGAGTTACCCTGTTTCTCCCTCCTTTTCACCTCAGCTTGGATGAGAGTTGCGGTCAGCCCCAGGTTCCTTCAAATCCCCTAAGACAGCACATCCTTTAGGCAAGCCAGAAGGTTTGAGCATCCAGACAACAATTTTTAGGGTGGGGCCACAATCCAACTAGGAAATGGCTTTTCTCCTTCCCCAGTAAGAGGTTGGTGGAAATGAGGAGAACTCCATGAGCTCTCCCACCTCAAAATCAGGAAGAAGATATCAGATCAGGGGAAGTATCCAGAAAGCAGATCACACCCATTAGCTACTGGTTCTTACTGATTCCCCAAGGCTAAATCTTAGTGGTATCTCTTTCTTCCACTTCACCTTCTGCATCTCTACCTTTGAGTCCTACATTTCCAAAACTAATGTCCCTTTTGTGGTCACATGAGCACTCCATGATTTTCTTCCTGTTCTTTCTCTTTTGTCTTATGCCTTCTATCCAACATATTCTTTTCTCTAATTGCAGTCCCAGATTCCTTGGAAAGTTAGAAGGTGTGGAGCATGATATAGTAGTTTTCTTTAGAGGGAATATTAATGGAAAAGAGAAAAATTATTTCAGCATTTTACCTACTCCATTTTATTTAATCCTTACAATATCCTCCAGTGTAGGCATTATTATATATATTTGCCAGATGAGGAAACAGGTTCAGTGAGACAAAATAATGAATCAAGTCAAACAAACAGCAAGGGTAGCACAAAGACTTAAACCAAAGTCCAGCTTATGCCAAACTCCATTGTCATTTCACTGTGTCACTCTGGCCCACTTGACAGGAAAGGCTATATAGTAAAGGGAGTGTCAACAGCAGGTCTAGTCAAAGGCTGAGAGACCTAGGCACAGCCTAGATATGTCTTACAGATCTTTAGATGTATACAGGGGTACTACATAGAGAGCTGCCATTTCTGATTTTCTCACATTTCATAGAGAGTACTTCATTTCAAAGGCTTTTGCTCTTTGGAGGTACACCAAGCCAACACTCAATTATCCATGACCTTGGAGGACAAAAGGAGCAAGCAGCACAGTCACTGCAATTTATGACTACTTTAAAGCACTCACTTTAGCCATCAGTTCCACTTCCTTTTCCCACCAAGCTTTTGATGAAAGCAAAATAGAGGGCTCTGAGTTTCAGCATCTCTGATTTTTCTAGTTCATTGTCTTGGGTGTGAGGGAGAGAGGCAGGGGTTAACAGATACCAAAATGAAGAAAGAGGGGCAAAAGTGGGAAAACAGGTGGAGGAGAGAGCCTGGATCGTCCACAGATGGCTTCATAGGTTTGTCTTCCTTATCTGTCCTCCTGAAACGTGGGAATCCCTTCTCTTCTTTTCCCATCCCGCCTCCATTTTCTTTTTTTTCTTTTTTTCTTTTTTTCTTTTTTCTTTTTTAAAGATGTTATTTATTCATGAGAGACAGAGAGAGAGAGAGAGGCAGAGACACAGGCAGGGGGAGAAGCAGGCTCCATGCAGGGAGCCTGATGTGGGACTCGATCCTGGGTCTCCAGGATCAGGCCCTGGGTTGAAAGCGGCACTAAACCGCTGAGCCACCTGGGCTGCCCCAGACTCCATTTTCTAACAGCATGTGTGGAGGCATCCTAAACCCTAGAGTGGGCTCTCTCAAGACCACAGAATAAATCTATGATAGAGCCAAAAGGATCACTCAGATGTCTCCCAGCCTGGGCCGTTAGATCTATCTTACAAACCATTCCCAAAAATGTACCTGTCTTGTTGGTTCCTTGCCTTCCTCTTCTCATGGAGGCAATCTGTGTTCACTGTCATTAATCAGTAGCAAGCAATTTTCAGGAAAGTCCCTGATTGATGAGCAGAGAGCCACTTTTTCAGACTGTGCCCATTTTCATTGACCATTGAGTCCAATCAGTTTTTCAAATATTTACTGAGCTCTTATTAGATGCAAAGACTCAGGGACTCAGAGATGGACAGGATGTTATTTCCACCAGGTTTTTTTAATTTTTTAATTTTTTTCCACCAGTTTTCAAGGAGCTTCCTACCTACGAGCTTCCTACCAAGGCCACTCCCATTTTGTGAAGCCTGTCCTTAGCAACTCTTTATTTCACTTAATATCTGAGAAACACTATAGTTATTTAGTATGACCATGGACATAGTTGCCTTCATTTATTTTGTTAATTGCTTTACTCTTTCTCTGTACTGTATTACTTAAGAATGTAACCCCTTCTTTTCTTGCCTCATCCCAACTTTCATAGAATCATGAAATGTTGGAGAAAGAACTTCAGAGACATTTAGTCCAATCCCTACCCAAGAAAGGCATTTTAAAATATGCCTGACCAAGGGTGAGCCAACCTCTGAAAGTTTTCAGTTGGAGATTCATTGCCTCATGAAGCAATCTGAGCCATTGTGAGGCAGTTCTAATAATAATTTGACTCTCTTCATTGAGTCAGAATCTGTCTTCCTGTAGCCTGTATGCACTGGTGCTAGAACCTGCCCTCCAATGTAAATCTCAAACCAGACCTCTTCCATCAAAATGCCTTAAATAATTGAAGAAAGTTATTATTCCAAGCCCCTCAGTTCCAATTCCTTCAACTTTTCCTCATTTGATATGGTTTCCAGGTATTTTATTATTCCGATTATCCATAATATAGAGACACTCTGGTGTCAGGCAGGCAGGCTACTATGTGGCCTTAGGCAAATCTGAGTCCCCAGGTCCCTCAGTTATAAAGTGGGCATATCAGGATCCCTGGGTGGCGCAGCGGTTTAGCGCCTGCCTTTGGCTCAGGGCACGATCCTGGAGACCCGGGATCGAATCCCACGTTGGACTCCCGGTGCATGGAGCCTGCTTCTCCCTCTGCCTATGTCTCTGCCTCCCTCTCTCTCTCTCTCTCTCTCTCTCTCTCTGTGTGTGTGTGACTATCGTAAATAAAAAAAAATTTGAAAAAAAAAATAAAAATAAAGTGGGCATATTAGTGGTACCTATTCAGTGAATTCTTTGATTCAGAGAGAGCTCTGGCACAATGTCTGCCAGGGACACAATAAATATACACGAAACAAAAGCAGTTTTTATTCTTGTCGGTGCTAGATGGAACACTACATATGTTATGACCAGTGCAGATTAAATCTTACTACCCCCACCACCGTCATCTGGACATTATATTCATAGTATGGGGTGGCATTAGACTAATTATACTTCAGATTTGTGGTTACCTAAACAACTACATTTTTCTTTTTTCTTTTTAGAGAGAGAGAGGAGAGCATGCATACATGCACATAGCAGGGAGAGGGCGAGGGAGGTGAATCTTAAGCAGGCTCACGCCCAGTGCAGAGCCCAACACAGGTCTCAATCCCACAACCCTGAGATCATGTCCTGAGCCAAAATCAGGAGTCATGCTCTCAACCAACTAAGCCACCCAGGTGTCCCACAACTAGATTATTTTTGCTCAGACTTGTCAAGTATTGTGCATCAATAGATTTTGAAGGCCAATATAGAATTTTATATTTACCCTTGATATATATAATCATATTGACTGATGTTCTTTTTCCAATGTTTGGAGGCTATTTTGAATTCACTGATTCATTTGTTCACTGAATACTTACTATGTGCCACATGGTTCTAGGATGTGGGGATATAGCAGTGAACAAAACCATCACTATTCTTGTTAATCTTCTCTAGTAAGGAAGGACAGGTAAATATATGTCAGGAGTAATAAATGCTATGAAGAAGAATAAAGCAGAGTGAGCGGGTATTGTCTCACTAGGGGCAGCTAGGAGATGCTTTTCTGACAAGGGAAGGTTTGACCAGAGGCCTTCAATGAGTGAGGCAGTGAGTCAGGCAGATACCCGGTGGAAGGATGTTTCAGAAAGATTCTGGAATGTGCTGAAGTCCTGTTCATTTCCTTAGTTCTCCCTGCCCTACCTAAGTCTTCCTCTACAAAGTAATGTGGAAAACTAGAGGCCTTACTAACACGTTCAAGGCCTAAACCCAATTTGGCCTCAGTGAACCCCAAACTCGTTAGGGGCCCAATTTGTGTAGGAAAGGATAGGGTAAAGGATGGGAAGGAAACAGTCTTTCTCTATAGTTATTTATTCATTCAGCAAATACGTACCAAGTACCAGCTCTGCATTTTTAATGCTAGGGATACAGAAGTGAACAAAACAGGAAAAACCCCAGTCCTTGTGAAACTTACTCACTAGTGAATATATATAGTAAAATTTATAGTAAAATTATATATTTGTGTGTGCACCTATATATATGTTGTGTGTGCACACATGCATCTGTGTCACTGTATGTGAGAGAAAAAGATAAGACATAAGGAGAAAGTTACCCAGGGCTGGGACATGTACGCCTTGGTGGCAAGGAGGTTGAGCCTTACTAGGAAGATGATATTTGAGCAAAGAGCTGACATTTTCCATAGTCCCTATTTCTTCCTATTTAAAAATACAAGTACTTGAAAAAAATGTGTTTTTTTCAAGTAAAATAAGACAAAGTACAAGTATTTGGAACTGGGAGCTAAAATTTGCAACATAGTTTAAAAATACTCAGATCCAGATTTCTTTTTACCACCCTTAAACACTGTACCCAGACCACCCAGAGTCAGCCCTACATCCTCTACCCCAGCTGCCATTCTGTCACCACAAGCCCATTGCAAACCCTGTACTGGATGCTGTAGAATATTCTCCTGAAACCAGACACGGCCTGTGCCCTTGTGCATTGTGTAATGGTTGAGGTAAAAGGTGACTTTATCACACAGGACAGCTTTATGTGAAACACAAATCAATAAGAGTGAACCAAGTCCTTGAGTGCTGAGAGACAGCCAAGAAAAGACCAGGGAGTTGAGTGGGGCACTGTAAAGAAGGCTTCTTGGAGAAGGGAAAGATTTCATCCAGGTCTGAAGGAAAGGAACAGGTCCGGATTGGTCAGAGAGGATGGCTGAGGGCATCTCCTAGAGAAGGGAGGGTAAGCCTGGATAAGCATGTTCTGCGGTGCAGGCTAGCTTGCGGATGACGTTGGCTCTGCAGAAGCCGTAAGTAGAAGAGCTCTTGACGGGGTGGGTTGAGGTCTACCTGCCTTGATGCATCTCTGGTCTCCACCTTCAGATGTGTCACCAGTGGTGGCTGGCCTTGTTGGGGCATCTGTGCTGGTGGTGTGCGTGTCGGTGACCGTCTTTGTGTGGACATGCTGCCACCAGCGGGCAGAGAAGAAGCACAAGACCCCACCATATAAGTTTATCCATATGCTCAAAGGCATCAGCATATATCCAGAGACCCTCAGCAACAAGAAGAAAATCATCAAAGTGCGGAGAGACAAAGATGGCCGTGGGAGGGAAGGTGGGCGCGGGAATGTGCTGGTGGATGCAGCAGAGGCGGGCCTGCTGGGCCCAGACAAAGGTCCCGGGGGACCTAGCTCTGGATCTTGTATAGACCAGTTACCCATCAAGGTGGACTATGGGGAAGAACTGAGGAGCCCCATTGCGAGCCTTACCCCTGGGGAGAGCAAGACCACTTCTCCGTCATCTCCAGAGGAGGATGTCATGCTCGGCTCTCTCACCTTCTCAGTGGACTACAACTTCCCGAAAAAAGCCCTGGTGGTGACAATCCAGGAGGCCCATGGGCTGCCAGTGATGGATGAGCAGACCCAGGGCTCTGACCCCTACATCAAAATGACCATCCTTCCCGACAAGCGGCACCGGGTGAAGACTAGAGTGCTACGGAAGACCCTGGACCCTGTGTTCGACGAGACCTTCACCTTCTATGGCATCCCCTACAGCCAGCTGCAGGACCTGGTGCTGCACTTCCTTGTCCTCAGCTTCGACCGCTTCTCCCGGGACGATGTCATCGGGGAGGTGATGGTGCCGTTGGCTGGTGTGGATCCCAGCACAGGCAAGGCACAGCTGACCAGGGACATCACCAAAAGGAACATCCAGGTGAGGAGGGAGAGTATGTCGGGGAGGGCTGGTAGGTAGGGGGAGGCAAGATCTCAGGGAACAAGGGGAAGGGCAAGGGGGTGTATAGATGGCCAGGGGGAGCAATAGGTAGGACACTTGTGGCTTTGAGAATCAGCAGTGGCCAGGATGCCTAGGTGGCTCAGTGATTGGGCATCTGTCTTTGGCTCAGGGCCTGATCCAAGATCTGGGATCAAGTCCTGCATTGGGCTCCCTGCAGGGAGCCTGCTTCTCTGTCTGTGTGTGTCTCTCATGAATAAATGAATAAATCTTTAAAAAAAAAATATTCAGCAGTGGCCAAAGTGAGACAGAGGGGCCATCCGGCTAGGTCTCCTCCAAAAGGAACTGCATGAGGAGAGAAGGACAGGGAGCTTCTGAAGTCTCCCCTTGTGGTTGGTATCCTGATGCTGAGTCCAGCTTACTAGGAGTGGGTTCCCCCCCAAGCTTACTAGGAGCGGGTTCGCCCCAACCAGTCCTAGGCCCTCATGATGTCAAGGACATGGGGGCCAGCTTCCTCTCCAAAGCCAGATGTGATCTTCCTCCAGGGGACCTTGATGGGACTAAAGTAATTCTGCCCTCAGCCTCCCTGTCCAGCCCAACCTCAGGTGGGGCTTCTCGTGGCCTCTCCACCAACTCGGGTCAGTGAGGTGCCTCACTTCTGAGCCCATCCCCACAGCCCGAGCCCTGCCTCACATGTTCCTCCCCTGCACCCCAGGGCGCACAGGCTAGAAAGGGACTGAGAACCCGCATTCCTGTCTTCTCCCCACTGGGCTGGCAGTGGCTCATGAGTCATAACTTCAGGGGTGCAAGAAATGTGTCCCATCCCCCTCATTCATGCATTTTATACACATCTGGGGGCACCGCGGTCGTCTGCAGAGCACCCTGGCTGCCCTGGTAACACCCACTGTAGCTCACTGCTTCCCAGCCCAGGGTCCCTGCAAGTAAGCTTGTTTCCCTGTCTGTAACGTGGAGCTGCTAACACTGGCCTCCTCACAGGGCTTGGGGATCAGAAGAGAGAATATGTCTGGCATGTAGTTGCCCCTGAGAATCTCACTTCCCTGGGGGAGGGAGACCATCTTGGCAACCATCAGATTGTGAGTGTGGCAGGTGTCTTGATAGAGGTTGTTGGAGTTTTAAATGTAGACTTTCGTTCCTGTTTCAAGGTACAGTGTAAGTAGTTAATAACAAGGGCTGTGAAGTCGAAGCTGAGTTTGAATCCGAATGTCGCCAGCTTACTGAGCTTCGCTTAGCAACTCTGATCTCAGGTTCCCACAGGAGTGATGCAAGAGGATTCATTTGCACAGCCCCTAGTGCCACTATTTCTACTATTAGTAAGGTCTGATCCCGGGGAGATGCATGTGGTTCTCAGACCTTTATGTTTTGTTTTGAGAAAGTAAAGGACGGCAAGGGAGCCTGAGTCACTGCAGGAGGAAGGAGGTTCAGAAGGGGTGTCAGAGTCACTGAAAACAACCGTACATCTTGCAGAAAGAGCCGTGGCCTAGAGGCCAGACTTATCTCCAGATGCCTTTTCCACTCTGCACTCAATGGGGAGGCAGGGCACTCAGGGTTGGACCAGAAAGGCTTCCAGGCCAGTAGGGCCATGTGTGCAGTGAGCTCCAGGCACAAGGTTTACCCCCTAAAAGGGAGCAGTGCCCCGGGTTGTGGGGGAAGCAGAAGGCACTGCGTCTTGGATTGTGTCACAGGCACCTGTCCCACTGGAGCCAGCCCAGCCATGCCACCACCCAGAGAACTGCAGCTGCTGTGTGGCACACCCAGCTCTACTGTGGAGGGGCCAGGGAAGCCCAAATGTTTTAAGAGTATTAGAGGGGTTTTGTCAGCATCCAATACCAAGACACAAAGAAACATTCTAGAGTCCAGGACAGCAGGGGCTCTTGTGTCCTCTGAGGTTGGAGTCAGAAACATGGATAAAAACTAGTTTTCTTCCCCTCCATCCCCTTCCCCTGAACTGCCCTCTCTTTTCCTCAGGTTTCTTCCAAGACTTCCCTGCTCCCTGACCCCTCTTTACAGTATCCCTAGTGCTCCACTGCCTGCCTTCATCCAGCTGCCCCAGCTCCCTGCCCTGTGGCCCCAGCCTTGGTCGAGCCATCCACTGGCTGGACTGCCCCAGACAGCTCATATTCCTGAAGCCCAAGGCCGAAAGCAGGCGATGGCTCTGTGCCAAGCTGCAGCTGGGAAGAGACGGGCCAGGAAAGGGATTGATTCGGGCTGGGAACAAAACAGCCTCAAATCCCGGACACTGGCCAGGGAGCACAGACAATGGCATTTGCTAAACTGCCAGAGGCTCTTGGCAAAAGCCAAGTTTCTTTCCACTTTATTAACTCCCTTTAGGAGGGACAAGCCAGGGCTAGGATCCTGAACAACACATCACCTGGGAGAGGCCCAGACAGGACACACAGAGCCCGTGCACCCCTGTGCCAGAGCCTCCCAGCCCCCTGGGCCTCCTGAGCATGTTTCCCCAGCGTGCGTGTGTAGGCAGGGCTGCACTCCATCCTTAGCCATGGCTGTCACTTGCCAGCACCAGTCCCTGTGACTCCCTGCAGTGCAGCCTCCACATATCTACCCTGAGCCTCTCGGCTATGATCTCCCCTTGGCTCACCAGTCAGAGCTGCTCTAAACTGTTCCACACTCTGTAGAGAGCTTTTTCTGGTCTGTGGAGGCATCCCCTTCTAATATGGGACCAGAGGCCTGGGTGAGGACCCATGAGAATTGCACTTCTCTAGATAACACCCCCCCCCCCACATCAACTGCATCTCCCCTCCTCTAGCAGAGAAAGTCACCTCTTGTCCTTTCCATTGCCCAGTGCAATCTGATTGAAGAAGCCCAGGACTGGTCATCCTCTCTGACTCTTCCATTTCGCTCCTTTCTCTGGGCCAGCAACTGCCACCTCTTTAAGGTTTCATCTAGGCTGGGCCGTGAAGGCTGATGGAATCACAGAGAGCACTCTCAGCTCTTATGAATACACAGAACAATGTAAGAAGCATTAAAAATTAACCCTTGATTATTAGTGGAAGATCACAATATAAATTCTGTAATTCCCCAAATCTCTGAGTTAAGACTCTAGAACTAGTTTTTTTTTTTTAAAGATTTTATTTATTCATTCATAGAGACAGAGAGAGAGGCAGAGAGAGAGAGAGAGGCAGAGAGAGAAGCAGGCTCTATGCAGGGAGCCCGATGTGGGACTCAACCCCGGGTCTCCAGGATCACGCCCTGGGCTGCAGGCAGCACCAAACCACTGCGCCACTGGGGCTGCCCGCTTTTTTTTTTTAAGTGGCAGGTTTTTTTTCTAATATTTTGTTCAGATAGACATTTTTTTTTTAAGTAAGCTATCCACCCAACGTGGAGCTTGAACTCACAACCCTAAGGTCAGGAGTCATCTGCTCTTCTGATTGAGCGAGCCAGGCATGGATAAAAATATCTATGAGCCTGGGATAAAAATTGAACTGAATTTACATTTCCATAATAAATCCCCTGCACAGGGAAGGGAGACAGTCCAGAGAGGGCTCCAGGAGAAAGAACAGACAGTGGGAAGAGAAGTACTTTATGAGTGGATTCCCCTGAATTTCTTCAGGTCACTTCCTGTCCTTCCTGGGCCCCATCTGCTATGGACGGCTGGGGACAATGGTCACGGGAAGCACAGAAGTCTTAAAATCTCAGATTTATGAGGAACCTAGAGGTCACGCAATTGAGCCAAAAGGGACTGGAAAGAGAAAGAGAAGCACCACGAAGAGAGTAGCTCTGCTTCCATTTCGGGGAGATGAGGGATGTATTTGAAGAGTAAGGTTTTGTTCCTCTGGTTTTCCCATGGCTGTGATTTGAGTGCAGATGGCCCATGGGACTTCTGGCCCCTGTAAAAGTGCATTGAGGTTAACCGGGTACACCTAGTGTGAACACTGTGTGGCCAGTCACAGTGTTCACAGAAGGGGCTCTGCTCATTCCAGGGAATAGACTCACCTGAGCCTTTCTGTCACCTGCATGTCTTCCAAAGGCCACTGTGCCTGCTCATCTTTTCCACTGAGAAAGACAGGAGCCCACTCTGAGAGCAAAGCCTTCCATCTCTTTCAGGCACGGAGAAGGCCTTTCCTCTGCTTGGGCTTCCACTTGCCTGCCCCCAATGGGGTTTTTGCCTCACTAGGCCAGGGGGCTGGGAAACGGAGCTTGCTTCCAGCCCTTTACAAAGAGCCCTTGAGAAAGAGCCCTTGACAATGCTACTTGCAGTGGGAATTGGAGAAGGGGAGGGGGAGGGGAGGTGAAATCTGGCCTTGGTGCAGAATAAGAGTGGCATGTGGTTGGTGGGAAGGGCATCCTGCCCATGTAAAATGGCCAAAGGAGAACAATTGCCTGAGGGGTGATTTTAGGGGAGAAAATTATTAAAAAAAGTAACCAGAAGTTATCCAAAACTCGGGAATGGGCTTGGGGATTCAGAATGGGAAAATTTTGTTATAATGAGTGACTTACAAAACACAGTTTTAACAAAATAATTAGGAAATCCAAGCTATAATTTTGTAGTCAATGTTTTTTTTTTTTTACAAATAAAAATCTTTTTTTGTTTTGTGTTTAATGATCAAGGTTTATTTTTTATTTCTTTGTATTCTTTCTTTCTTTCAAGTAGGCTCCACATCCAACATGGGGCTTGAACTCACAACCCAGGATCAAGAGTTGCATGTTCCACCTATTAAGCCAGCCAGGTGCCTCAAAAAACTCTTTGGTTTTCTTTTCTTTTCTTTTTTTTTTTTAAGATTTATTTATTTATTTATTCATGAGAAACACAGAGAGAGAGAGAGAGAGAGAGAGAGAGAGAGAGGCAGAGACACGGGTAGAGGGAGAAGCAGGCTCCATGCAAGGAGCCTGATGTGGGACTCGATCCCTGATCTCCAGGATCACACCCTGGGCCACAGGCGGCACTAAACCGCTGCGCCACTGGGGCTGCCCAACTCTTTGTTTTTCAAATCAAATTACCCTTCTTCTGTATATAAAGTTCAAATTATACTTAAAGATTGCATATATTCATATTTAATATTTGGAATGCAGTATTTGGACATCAAATCTAGTTAATATTTCCTTATTCATGGACATGGAGGGAAGTGGTGGCCCCAATCATCCAGAAGTACTTTCAGGATCATTGCTGTACCCCAGAGCTCTCTGTGATGGTGGAAACATTCTCTGTGTGCACTAGGACATTTGAAATATGACTAGTGTGACTGAGGAACAAAAATTTTAGTTTTATTTAATTTTAATGAATTTAAACGGACACATAGAGCTAATAGAGTGCTGGGTAGCTCAGTTCTGAATGTTCTTCTGGATGGCATTTAGTTTTTGTTTTCACATGGGATTACTCTCCTGATGCCATTTGGCTGTAGCTAATAGTGAAAATGAGGTTACGTTCTCTGATTGGGTTCCAACTCATGTCAAAGAGAAGCAGCCCAGAAGGGCAAGCAGCCTGTGATTCTAAACTGGCTGAGGGTACTTCCCATGGATATAATCAAGACCTGACAAGATGTATGTTATGGGTAAGGAAAAAATGTGGGGCTTCCATCTAGCAGAGAAAAGTCATGAAAATCTTTTTTGAAGCCCGTTCTCTTTGGGACTTCAGTTTCAAAAGCTAAAGGCTGAGTTTATCATTTTAGTCATTTTATGCCCAATGAGAGATATTTCCCTATGTTCCTGGTATGAAACAGAGCCTCAGGAACGTTTTTAAACCATGTGAAACATTATTACATGGGATCCCTGGGTGGCGCAGCGGTTGGCGCCTGCCTTTGGCCCAGGGCGCGATCCTGGAGACCTGGGATCGAATCCCACGTCGGGCTCCCGGTGCATGGAGCCTGCTTCTCCATCTGCCTGTGTCTCTGCCTCTCTCTCTCTCTCTCTCTCTCTCTCTGTGACTATCATAAATAAATAAATTTAAAAAAAAAAAGAAACATTATTACAGCTTCATTCCTTGAGATGAGTTAGGCTTATAATCAAAGCACAGACCTGGAGGTTTCTTTCCTTGTTTTTCACTGATGAGCTAACTGGATGATTTCCTTCTCTTGCATGGGCTTCCCTGAGCAAGTGGTACAGGGAGTCTGTGTGCTTCCAGAGAGCAGGCTCTCTCCTTGTCCCCATCTCTAGCCGCCACTTCTGATGGAACACCGGGCCCGGTGGGCGCACAGTAGGCCATTTGGGGGAGTACGAGGCAGACGGAAGGCTGGTGGTGGTAGAGTCTGGCTTTGCTTAGAATTCCTGAAGTAGGTGACATTTTTCTGGTGCTTTGAAGAATACAAGGAGTGAGAGTTGGTAGTGAGGGGAGTTTTGTCCCAACCTTCCTTCCTTTGTCCAATATTCCTTGAACCCCACTTCCTTTCAGTTTCCATCTCACAGCTTCATCCCTACCTTATAAACCAGAAACACATTAAATTTAAAAAGAAAAAAAATTTTAAATGAGAAAACAAAAGAAACAAATAAAACAAAAAATAAGCTAGAAACACACGAACTTGCCCCCCATTCCAGTGAGTTCTTCCTGGAACACGTCCTGCCCCACACCCACCACTGCTAAGGGGGTCCAGGCTTTGGTGTCCCCTCCACAGCCCAATGCAGCAGCCTCTGGGCTCCTCTCCCCTCCAGTTTATTCTTCAGCTTCCACTAGAACAATACTAGTCTTCGTAAAACAGTAACAGAGCAATGACTGTGTCCCTCCCGTGCTGGGTGCTGGCAGCCATCCTGGGCCTGTGAGTGGCTGGCTGAGCTGTTTCCTAGAGCCCCCCCTCCTCTTCTCACCCCCCACCACACCCCAAGGGCAGCACCTCCCCTCCCACCATTCTCTGAACACAGTGGGCCTTCCCTCTACATTGCCTGGAAGATTCCTACTCATCTTCATAAACTCAGCCCCAAGGTCAGTGGGCACATTCTGCCCCTGGTTCCCCAGCAGCACTCACACAGACTCCTTCCTGCTCCAATGAGGGCATGTTTGTTTATCTCAGTCTCTTCTGGGCATGGTAAGCTCCTTGGAAGTGAGAACTGGGTCCTGGGTGCCAGGCCGGCTCAGTCAGTGGAACACATGACTCTTGATCTCAGGGTTGTGAGTTCAAGCTTCACATGGGGTGTAGAGATTACTTAAAGGGGAGCGGGGGAGAGAACAAATGGGAAAAAATGAAAAAGAAAGGAACCAGGTCTATCAGCTTGGGACCCCCAGCACCTAGCATGCAGTAAATATCAAACATTGCTTAAAATGTCCTTGGAGGTTGGGAGGGTTTTTTCAATTCCCAAGCACAGCCTAGAATACAATTCAAAGAAGCAAATGGAAATCTGTAGGCAGAGGGGAGGAAGCCAGTGTGGCTGGAGAGGATACTCCCAGGTGCATCCACGGAGGCAGGTGGGGCAGGTGTGGGCACTCACCTTGTAACATGGAGGAACAGTCGCTAGGACATTCAGGAACCTGCCCAAAGCCAGGGGCTGAGTAGGTGGCAAAGTGAAGGCTCAGTCCCAAGTTTCCTGCCTTCCACCATCCAGTCTCTAAAGCTTTTATCACAAGAACCAAATGAGGCAACAGGTGAGAATGCCCTTCTCTAGGCCCAAGCACAGGTCAAAGTTTACTGGTTTTAATTTAGTCCTCTGGATGATACTATGAGGTTGGTATCGTTTTTACATCCATCCTTCAGATGAGGAAACTGGAGCATAGAGCCGTCAAGTTCTTGTCCCAGGTGACACAGGCAGAGAGTGGCAACAGGACTGGAATCCAGAGCCATCCAGCCTGGGTCTGTGGAATACCAGGCGAGGTGGCCTCTCCATACAGATGGTCTCATTTAATATTAGGATTATAATGAGAACGTGTCAGATTCCCTTCCCTGTTAAATGAGGGGGGAGGACACTCTCAAGTTGCTGGATGCTTCTGCAGGCCCCCTCCCTGGCTCTGCACACTTCCGGTTCCCTCCCTGCTCCCCAATCCTGGACATTCATCAGCTCTTTCCTCTTCCAGAAGTGCATTAGCAGAGGGGAGCTCCAGGTGTCTCTGTCTTACCAGCCCGTGGCACAGAGACTGACCGTGGTGGTCCTCAAAGCCCGACACCTGCCGAAAATGGACATCACTGGCCTCTCAGGTAGCAGCTATTTACCTCAACCCGCCTGTGGCCCCAACACCCCTGCACCCTTTAGGCCCCACTCCCTTCCCCGTGATTACCTGGGCTCTAGATGTCCTTGGCGCAGGAGGTGCCCTCCAGGCCCTGGGTGAGGGGTCCCATCAGATGCACACCAGGCACTGAGCTAGCTCCAGGGGAGACCTCTGAAAAGCCCCACAGGCATTCCTTATCCCTGTGCCCTAGATGCGGCTTCCTGGGCTCATGGGCTGTCCCCACTCATGATGAGGAAGTTGTCCTCCAGTGGTCCTGATGGCCCCCTCAGCCCCTTGCCTGGGCAGGCAGATGAACTGAAGTCAGAGTGTGTTGGGGGTGCATCAGTGGAGAGTGAGTGAGTGAATGGCCACCACTCAAGGAGCCACAGAGCCCCCTTCTGACACAGAGCCGCCCTTTAGAGGAGGACTGTGTCATGGGCCTGTCCCCCTTTCTCCTTGTCTCTCTGGCCGCCCCAGATCCTTATGTCAAGGTGAACGTCTACTACGGCAGAAAGCGCATCGCCAAGAAGAAAACCCATGTGAAGAAGTGCACTTTGAACCCAGTCTTCAATGAGTCTTTCGTCTATGACATCCCGCCAGACCTCCTGCCCGACGTGAGCATCGAGTTTCTGGTCATCGACTTCGATCGCACCACCAAGAATGAAGCCGTGGGGAGGCTGATCCTGGGCGCGCACAGCGTCACCAGCAGCGGCGCCGAGCACTGGCGGGAGGTCTGCGAGAGCCCCCGCAAGCCCGTGGCCAAGTGGCACAGTCTGAGCGAGTACTGATCCTGCCTGTCCTCCCGGAGCCGAGCCCGAGGCAGGCAGGGCAGGCAGAGGGAGAGATGCCGGAGAGGAGTGGACTCAAAACCTCATTTTAGTTGTAGAAGATTTCTTACAAAACAAACCCCACAAAGAACACCCCACGTGACCACAGCTGCAGATCAGTTCTTAGGGAGGATGATTTTTCTCCTTTGCAAGGCACTAGAAATCCTTTTTTTTTCAATGGGGAAAAAGAGAGGGAAAGGCCTCACGAGTCTATATATAACAATGTAACCTTATACTTGCATGTCTAATACAAACTGAAGAAATTAGCCTAACTGCCAATATCAAGTTACAGATTTTGAACCATGAAAATTGTGTTTTGTGCCGAATTGTATTTGCTGATCACCTGAAATTGGCCTCTTTTTACTAGGCTTCTCTGGAGAGTGACTCTCGCACCCCCTCTCCCCCCAGAAGGATATTTTACTCACATGAAAGCTCACGGTGTCCTCATCCCTGTCTTGTCTCCCTCACGCCTCAGACAGCTCCTGGAGCTCAGGGTCCAGAGGTCAGTCGTGAGCCAAGAAACGAGGGTGGGGTGGATAAGACAGGGTGTGCAGGGGAAATAGGATGTGGGATGCGGAGTTTTTGCTGCCACACTGCTGCTGGGAGGCCTCGGGGGTGGCCTAGGGTTAACTTGAGATGAAGCACATGAACACAGCAGACTTCAAGGTAGAATTTGGGTTTACTAAACTAGAGATCCTCTCTGGAGCGAGCTTCGGAGCCTTCAAAACTAGCTGAGGTGGCTCCAGTGGGCTCAAGCGGCAGGTCCCAGACACCATTTGTGGGTGCAGGCAGGACAGTGTCCGCCACCCCCCTCTCAGCGCCACCAGGAAGTGACAGCCATTTGTTGGTTTGGAGGATGAAATTGGCCTTTATTTTTCCAGAAATGCTGACCAATGAGAAGCTTTAGAGTTTTCTCAGGTAGCTTAGATGAAATTGGTTTTGCTTCACAAGGAAAATGGCCATCAGAAATTATTCTTTATCCTTAAATTTTTCCATTACGGCTCTTAAAACTGAGGAAGTGAGTGAAATGAGTAAATGTGAGTTAATGAGCAACTGAGGTAACCTGGATTCTTTTATACCATCCTGCCCCTCCTCACAGAGTGCTTAGTTCTTGGATTTTGAGTTGTCAAGGGAAGGGATGGGGAAGCACAGAGCTGCATCCCTCTCCTGCCAGCCGGCAGCTGAGGTTGCCAGGGAGCCAGTGTCTTGCCAGGATTAGAACTTAGGTCTCCAGCCTCCTGGTCAGCCATGGCTCTAGCGTCGAGACCTGTCACAGGGCAGAGGCTGGTGGGCCGTCAGTGAGCTTGCCCAGGAAGATCTTTCCCCTGGCCTGCAGAACAGCTCAGATGGGCAGCTGCTGGAATCAGCCTGAAAGAGCAGGTCCACACCCAACGAGAGAGCATCCCTTCTGACTCACTTCTGAGGAGGCTGGGAGTTCACAGACAGGGTGGCACTGCTGCCTGGGTCATTCCCTTAGCTCTTGTGGATTTGAAACCAGTCTGCTCCCCTGAATCCTTTTGTTGTTCTTTTTAAAACCTGGATTCCTGAAAGTGCTGAGCAGGCACGAAGCCCACTGTTCTTGTACCCTCCAGCTCCCCATCCCCCGATCTGACTCACATCCCATCAGTGTGCTCACACCACTGGCTCAATCTTACACTCCATGGAATGTAAATACTGTATCATACGTAGAAGAAAATAATTTTTGTTTTCTAAAAATGCATTTTGAGATAGTTTAATGTAAATCTGACAGGAGCATTCTGAAGACCCTTTAGGAAAAAAATCTTAAATGCTTCCTCTTCATCGCCTTAATGTCTGAAGATCAGAAATCGCTGAGCAACTCACTTTTGTTTCCTTCCCAGAAACCATGCAAAGCCACAGGTGGAGAGAGTCTGGCCTTGGCCTCGCTCAGTGAGCCTCTGCAGCTCCTCCTGCCTACTTCTAGGAAGGCAGCCTCACCCCACCCCCCTCTCCCCATCTCCTGTAGCTTTCTTCCCCCGTTTCTTTGGGTCTGTGGAGCAGTGGGTGGCAAGGTGACAGGGTGGGAAGTTCCGGAGCCAAGAGGCAGACAGCACAGGGCTCCTCCCTCCTACCTCACACCTGATCCATCACGCCCTCCGCTTGGCTGTCCCAAAGTTTCTTAGCTGCCTCTGGCTTTCCAACGTGTCCCTCCCAGAGGAGCAGCGCCTCCTCCGAAGAGTCAGTTGAAAGACAAGAGAGTCACACTCTCACTTTTGCACAAGGCACTCATGGTCAGGAAGGGTTTAGGGGACGGTCACTTCATATTTTCCAAGAGTCAGGCCTTCTCTGCTGATACCTTGATTCCTTTGGGAAGACAAGAGTTTTTCTTAATAACACAAGTCCCTTTATGAGTTATTCTTTCAGTTCTCAGTGGAGTACAGCCAAGATGTAGGTGTTTATGAACATGCTCTAGAGACGTAAGCAGATATAACTGGTTTGTGGGACAGGAGCGGCTTGCTCAGGAAGAGGGAATGGTGCAAGTCTTTTATTGGAAGGCTTTTATTATGACCGTGATAGTGACATTGCCCTCACCATGATCCTTCTCCAATGTGGTCGTCTTTCTTTACCTTGTGTCTTCTCTTGTAAAAAATGAAACTCAAAATAAATGTGTCAAATTAAAAAAAACTGGAAAAGCAAACGAATTGTGTGAAACTGCATAATGCTGTAATGCTAACCTACAATATGTAACGCTATCTTGTATGTGGAGTTTGTTAATGTACCACACAAGTGCAAAATAAAGACTGACTCACATTAAACACACAAGGGCATGAGGTGGTCTTCTTGGGAGCTCGGTGACGGTGAATGATTCCAACAGGATGTCCTAGAGCACGTACTCCAGTGTGATCCTCCACACCACCCGAAAATTCAGATCCCAGGGGTGCCTGGACTGCTCAGTTGGGGGAGCCTGCGACTCTTGGTCTCAGGGTCAGTGAGTTCAAGCCCCACATGGGGTGTAGAGATTACTGAAAAAAAAGAAAAAAATGCAGATTCCAGTCTCCAGACCTAGAGTCCTTTCTCTAGTCCTGTTTTCCTCTCAAAATGTCCTTCCGAAGACTCTAACCCCCAGGAGAGAGAGGATGGCTTCAGTGCCTGTCCCTGTAATTGGAAATATTTATACCTCAAAGCAATGCTGATTCTGTCTTCCATTCATTCCTCAACAGAAATTTGTCCTCGAGTGCATACCATGTGCCAGATGCTGAGGCTATGATACACCGATCCTGTGGCACTCAGCAGAGGACCAGCTACAATCAGATAATCCTGCTAGTAAATATGGAATGACAGAGAAATGCTCTGAAAGAGAAGTGCAGGCTAATGCACCCTTGAGGTTCTGAGGACCCCCTGCACACCCTGAAGTCTGGAATGAGGCACTTTTCCTACCTTCTCTCCTGGGGAAACTGCCTTCCCTGAATGCACAAGCCGGAAGCAGGAAAGGAAGCCTCTACTCTTTTAAAGTTTCAATGAAGGAACTAAAAAACTGGGACACCTGGGTGGCTCAGTGGTTGAGCATCTGCCTTCGGCTCGGGTTGTGATCCCAGAGTCCTGGGATCAAGTCCCACATCGGGCTCCCTGCATGGAGCCTGCTTTTCCCTCTGCTTATGTCTCTGCTTCTCTGTCTCTCATGAATTAGTAAAATCTTTTTTTTTTTTTTAAAAAAAAGGAACTAAAAACTTTAGACAATATAATAATCTTATTATACAAAAATTGATAGAGAGGGGATCCCTGGGTGGCGCAGCGGTTTGGCGCCTGCCTTTGGCCCAGGGCACGATCCTGGAAACCCGGGATCGAATCCCACATCGGGCTCCTGGTGCATGGAGCCTGCTTCTCCCTCTGCCTGTGTCTCTGCCTCTCTCTCTCTCTCTCTCTCTGTGACTATCATAAATTTAAAAAAAAAATTGATAGAGAAAAGGGGAAAAAAATAAGTCAAGATTCTAGAACTTTCCCAACTTTCTGACTTTTGGTCTTATTTCCTGTACATTTTTTCCATGATGTGTCAATCAGGGTCACTGTAGAAAACATTTAAAATAAAGTACAAGTTCATAGAAACCAGAAAACACGTCTATCTAGGGCAAGCGTCACTAATTTCAGCACATCTTCCCATCCACGAACCAGTTGACAATGCAATCACAGCACATATATAATTTTGCATGTTGCTTTTTCTCTAGGTGGTAAGTCTGAAAAAAAAAAACACAATAATATAACAATAATGATGGTAAGAGTATCTTGGCACTCAGGATGCTTTTGTCCACGATTAATAGGAAACCCAATTCCAATTAGCTTAAACATGAACAACACACACCGGTTCCCCCACCTGCAAGTCCACAGGTGGAGCCAGCTCTGGGCACAACTCTGGCAAAAGGTCACTAATACCTCGAGGGCCACAGTGACACTCAATGTCCCCTTAATCCTAAAGATTTTGTTTGTAGGACCACTTTCAGGGGAAAAGAGGAGATTGCTTCATGGCCACTCCCAGAAAAATAAGAAAGCATCCCCAGAAACCTTTAGCTTTTCTCTCCTCTCACCTCACTGGTCCCACATCGGCCACATGGTCACTGCAGAGCCAATCAGGCAAGGAAGATGGGAGTGTCTTTAGGACTGCCCTGGAACCTAGTGCCGGGAAATGGTGGATTCTTGGATAAAATGTCATTTCCTTTGGAAGAAGGAATGGGTGCTGGTGAGTGGCAAATGAGGACCACCACATTGTTTCCTGTATTCCAGCTCCTCTGTCCAAAGCATTTTCTCCTGTGATCTTTTTTAAGACTTTCTTTATTCATGAGAGACACAGAGAGAGGCAGAGACATAGGCAGAGGAAAAAGCAGGCTCCCATGGGGAACCCGATGCAGGACTCCGTCCCAGGACCCCAGGATCACGACCTGAGCCGAAGGCAGATGCTCAACCACTGAGCCACCCAGGCATCCCTCCTGTGATCTTATAACAAACTCTAAGAGATCGAGCCGTTGACCGCATCCATGTCCCATACCTCATGGTTTGTTTGCCAAGACAAACAGCCTAGTGTTGGGGTCCTCTTTACGTGATTCAAGAGCAACATCAGGTTAGCCACAGAGTATAATTTTTCAGAAAGCTGAGAACATATTTTTCTTCTTCTTTTTTTTTTTTTTTAACATTTAAGTCCTCTCCTCGTCCAGTGTGGGACTGGAACTCACAACTCTGAAACTGGACATTTCCATGACTGACGTTGACACACCAGATCAGTCTCCAGTCGGGCATTTTTCCAAGTGGACATGGAATTGTTCACAGCCCCTTACCCTTCCCACTGTCCAGCACTCAGTCCATATCTGTCACAGGAGATGGCATGCATCAGAATCAGTGCCTGGCATGCCCGGCTGGCTCAGGAGGCACACCACTCTTGATCTCAGGGTTGTGAGTTTCAGACCCCATGTTGGGTATGGAGACTACTTAAAAAAAAAAAATCGGAGGTTCCTAAAAAACAGACCTGAGCCACCAAGAGGTGTGTTCTTGTCATTCACGCAGCTGAATTCCCAACATCCAACATCTGGCATCTAGCAGGTGCTCAATACAGGTTTGGGAATGAAGGAGGACAGGCAGGGGACAAAATATTGTCTAGGAGCAGACCCAAAGCAAACACAAAAAATCCGTGCCTCTTCCTACTTATTGCTGAGTTAGAGTTTCCAAAGAAGTTTGGTCTAGTGTGAAATCTTGTTTTTTTTGTTTGTTTTAAAAGATTTTATTTATTCATAGAGACAGAGGGAGAGAGGGGCAGACACACAGGCAGAGGGAGAAGCAGGTTCCATACAGGAAGCCCGACGTGGGACTCGATCCCGGGTCTCCAGGATCACACCTGGCTGCAAGCGGCGCTAAACCGCTGCGCCACCAGGGCTGCCCTGGAACCTTGTTTTTGTTAGTTTTTTGGGTGGTAGCAGTCGTGGGTGTGTATATGCTGCAACCAGACCCACATGTGCTCTAGAGTGTCAGCAGATCTGATGGTGGGAGTGGCACAGCATTTGGGTGGCACTGACTACACCAGAATCGCAGGTATGCCTTCCTGGCCGGCACAGATTTTATACTGGACTGCACTGTTTCTGAACACATACTTGGCATCATCAACCACTGGTGTGCAAGGAAACTCAGGAAAACATCTGATGGGAGGTGGGGGGGCTAGTTCTGAAGCTAGAGATTTTCTCCTGGCTCAGAGCAAACTGCAATAAAACTAGCAATAACCAGCTCTGGGAAGGGCAGGAAATGACACATCCCCACCCCAGCAGCTTTTGTTCAAAAAACTGGGTGACTTAATGATGTGATCGTGTATGCTAAGTTTTTTTAAGCAAGGACTATTAGACAAAGCTAAAAACATTTCAGTAATTTTGTCTCAAGGCCAACAGATATTTAAAAGTAGATTGTAAGTTTCAGCATACCCCAAACATTCAGACTCAACGATCCTTTGTTCTGTCCAGGGGTTTCCTCCTAACAAAAGCAGGAATTTTATTTCTTTGCTGGGAGCCACAGTCCCTTGTTTC